CGTCATCATCATCATCATCATCATCATCATCCGCAGAGGCAGGTGCGTCACCCACGCTGGAAGACATGACGCCGGAGACACGGCAGTTCCTTGCCTCGTGCAGGCAGATGGCGCAGGACAAGCACGAGCTGCTCTCTGGCCAGCTTGGCGCACGCAGCATCACCACGCGTCTGTTCTGGGTGACGCGGTTTGGGCGCTCCAACCCGCTGCTGCCACTGGCGTGCCGCCCGCCCGCGCCAACGGCTGGCATCATGTGGAACGAGACGCACCTGCGCACGTTCCTGCGGGACTTCCTTGTGTATGATCTTGGGTTGACGGCGGCGGCGGCGTGCAAGGCGCTGCAGCTGCCAGCCACCGTCACCACGCGCTCGTGGCTCGGCAGCGATCCCTGGGCCGCCACAGACACGCCATGAGGCGGGCTTGTGTGCGTTTGCGTATGTGTGTTCGTGTGTGTTTGTGTGTGTTTGTGTGTGTTCGTGTGTGTTCGTGTGTGTTCGTGTGTCTGCGTGTGTTCGTGTGTGTTTGCTTGTGTGTGATATTAGCGAGTCGGGCTACAAATGCCTCTTGCTTGCTTGCGGTGCGTTGCGGTGCGTTGCCTATCTTGGCGTTGGTGGTGAGGAGTGTGTGTTCGATCAAGCCCACGCGTCTGCTTCAATTGCTTCTTCTCTTGTGTGAATGCGTTACTATCTGTGCACCTTCATCGTTCTTCCCTGATGCTGTCAGCCGCGCGCCAAGTACACGATGCGACCACACAGCCAAGCTGGTTGCTGCCAATCGAAAGAACAAGAACATGTGGGTGGCGTTGGCGAAGAAGCAAGAAGGGGGGGGGGGTTGAGAGGGAGGGAAGGGTCAAAGTTGGAAACACACAACAAACAACAATCACTCACACAACAACCCGCCAACAACGACGCCTGCGCACAAGCGAGCCAAGACAACTGCGCCTGTAGCGACTCCGACAGAGACCAGCAGCAGCAAGATGGCGAACCGAGTGGGCAAGGTCGTGGCAGACACGGCCAGGTTCTTCCTGTGTGACATGCAGACCAAGTTCCAAAGCACCATCTGTCACTTCCCAGCCATCCTCGAAGTCAACCGCCGCCTGGTCAGTGAAGTGTTGCTCTTGTGTGTGTGTGTGTGTGTGTGTGTGTGTGTGTGTGTGTGTGTGTGTGTGTGTGTGTATGTGTGTGTGTGTGTGTGTGTGTGTGTGTGTGTGCATGTGTGTGTGTGTGTGTGACCAGTGGTACTGCCAGAGTGCGTGCTGTGATGCATGTGTGCTCCTGCCTGTTGTTGTGTTTGGCAGGTGGAGGCGTCGCGGATCATGAACATCCCGCTGACGGTGACGGAGCAGGTAAGGAGGGTCAACTCGTGCGGCTGTGAGTGGCTGTGAGTGGCTGTGAGTGGCTGTGAATGGCTGTGAGTGGCTGTGAGTGGCTGGGCTGTGCGGGACTATGAGTGAGTGCTCTTGTGGGCTCGTTGTTGTTGTGCCACACATTGGTGATGTTGATCCGCTCAGTCCATCACGCACGTCTCACGACGACGCTCCAACGTTTGCGTTGTTTCCCACCCTGGGCATTGGCGGGATGCAGTATCCCAAGGGTACGTGCAGGTTCTGTGTGCCTCCGTATCACATGGATCTGTTTGGCCGTGTTTGTGCTGCTCTCTCCACAAGATGGGGCGAACGATATGGAAGAAGCTGCAACCACTCAACTCAACTCGTGTTGTTCACACACACATACGCACACATACACATGCACACACTGTCTGTCTCTCTCCCTCTGTCTGCCTGTCTCTCTATCGGTGTGCAGCCCTTGGCGCCACAGTGCCAGAGCTGAACATCCCAGAAGGCCTCGCGTACCCCAAGACCAAGTTCAGCATGGTCATTGACGAGGTTGTCAAGGATATGGAGAAGGAGCCCGAGCGCAACAACATTGTCCTCTTCGGCATCGAGGTGTGCGTGGTTGTACGTGTGTGTGTGCGTGCATGTGTGTGCGTGCATGTGTGTGCGTGCGTGCAATAATGTTGTGCGTGGTTGTGTGCGTACGCGTGTGTTAGTTGTTGCAAGCTCGTGTTGTCATGCCACCACCAGGTGCAAACACGCTTTCTGCCCCAGTGTCCATCCCCTCTCTCACGACAGCACTCTTCGCACGCCGCGGTGGTCAGACGCACGTGTGCATCCTGCAGACAGCGCTTGATCTGCTCGACAAGGGCTACTCTGTCCACGTCGTCGCGGACGGCGTCTCGTCCCGCAACATGGTTGACCGCATGTTCGCCATCGAGGTGTGTGTGTGTGTGCATGTGTGTTTGTGTGTGTGCATGTGTGTGTGCATGTGTGTTTGTGTGTGTGTGCATGTGTGTGTGCATGTGTGTGTGTGTGTGTGTGGATGTGTGTGTGTGTGTGTGTGGATGTGTTGGGCGCGTGTGTGTTTTCGTGTATGCGTGTGCGTGTGCGTGTGCATGTGAATGCTAGCTCTTCTTGCCATTCTGCACCTCGTCGTCTTCTCGCATCCTCCCTTTCCTCCATCTTACACCACCACCACCACCACCACCACCACCACCATCTTAACCATTTCCCAGCGCATGCGTCATGCCGGGGCGCACATCACCACGTGCGAGTCCATTCTCTTCCAGCTCATGGGGGACAGCCGCAACCAGCACTTCAAGGAGATCCAGAAGCTCATCATGGACCTGTCCCCAGACTCTGGCCTCCTCTCTGGTCGCTGATTTCGCCAGCACACACACACACACACACACACACACACACACACACACACACACACACACACACACACACACACACAACCGCACGTGGTTCCTACCACCATCTCACATGCATGTGCATCGTGCACAGTGCAGCTGTCACTGATGCTTTCAATTGCTGTTCCTTTAATCAAACCCGCATTCGCGTACACGTTCTCGCAATCAAGTACAAGTGCATCATCAATCATCACCTCAAAGCTGGAAGGAAACATGTCGCATCAGCTGTCGCATCGTCCAAATCACCACCACCACCACTACCACCACGGTCATCAGTGCATGTCCACCTTCGCCCGCTTTTCCGGCACATCTCCATACTGTTGCTGCTGTTGTTGTTGTTGTTGCTGCGCTTGTCGCTGTATCCGTCGCACCAGCTCGACAACGGACGCAACGCCGCCCGTCTGCACATTCAAAACGCATGGTATTGGGTGACAGTGGTGAGGACGCACACAGGCACAGACAGAGACAGACAGACAGACAGACACAGACAGACAGACGGACATAGACACAAACAGACAGACACACAGACACAGACAGACAGACATAGACACAGACAGACAGACGGACAGACACACAGACATAGACACAAACAGACAGACGGACAGACACACAGACATAGACACAAACAGACAGACACACAGACACAGACAGACACAGACACACAGACACAGACAGACACAGACAGAGACAGACACACAGACATAGACACAAACAGACAGACACAGACACACAGACATAGACAGAGACAGACAGACACACAGACACAGACAGACAGACACACATGCACAGACACACCACACACAGACAGACAGACACGCACACACACACACACACAACAAAGCACGAAGCACGAAGCAAAGGACAGCTGCGCTGACCGCGTGTGTGTCCTCGAGGGCCTCCTCCATGATGCAGAGCCACTCCATTTCGCTGAAGACGCACGTGTTCATGGCTGCACACGACAGGGCGACCGTCTCTGTTGCCTGAAGACCGTTCAGACGCGTGCGCAATCGCTGCTCCTCTGCCGCGTGTTCCTCTTCCTCCTGCTCCACGAGCTGCGGGCAGCATGGCAGTTGCACGCGGTAGTGGTGGTGGTGGTGGTGGTGGTGAGCCCGCATATCTGTCGAAAGGGCGACGCAAGGCGAGCAGCGGCGCAGCGCGAAGTTGTATTCACACGCACACACATGGACAGGCAAACAGACAGGGATTGCTTGAACATACACGCTTGCGATATTCAATGGTGGTGCGTGCATAGTCGACAAGAGGAAAGGCGTCGAGTTCTGCTGCAGAGAGACGGGCCAGCTGCTGCTTCGTCTGTCGCCAGGCCGGCGCGTGCATCGCAACGAGCAGAGACCTGAAGGTGGACGGCGGGCCAGTGTGAGCGGGAGCACGCCCGTGAGCATTGTTAGTTTGGTGTGTAGCCGGGTGGCAGGCAAGCCGTGTGACAAAGATGGACAGCTGAGTATGTATGTGTGTTCGTGAGGGTTAGGGCTGGTACGGCTTGGCAGGATAAACGAGCCAGCGTACCTCAGCTGCTCATACGACGCAGCGGTGCCCTCTTGTAGTTGTTGTTGTTGTTGTTGTTGTTGTTGTTGTTGTTGTTGTTGTTGTTGTTGTTGTTGTTGTTGTTGTTGTTGTTGTTGTTGTTGTTGGTTGCTCTTGCGCTTGCCTTTGCGGCACTCGTCCATGTGTGCCAGCATCTGCAGAACGGGCAGAGGGACGTGTGGGGTGTGACCAGGGTGGATTTGAGTCAAATCACATCAAGCACACACACACACGCACACGCACACAGTGTCGTGCCGTCAAACCTATGCCTTAAAGCCCCTCCTTCCACATACACGTGTGAGCACCTGGTACTGTTCCTTGTAGCCTGCGCCACAGAGCGGGCAGAGGGAGGGTGGCTGCTCGAGGTCTCTTGGGCGCTCCCAGGTCGATGCCTTTGTGTTGTTGTTGAAGAAGAACGGAATGCCGTTTGCGTCGTGATACTCGACCCACGCGCCTGCTTGTCGAACTAGAATCGGGCTTTGTTGACCATCCGCACGCGGGCTGTTGCGGCTGCTGTTGTTGTTACCGCTGCCATTGTTCGCAGTAGACGCCACTTCTACCGCAGCTTCACTGCCGCTTGCCTCCATGATCAGCGAGGGGCAGGTGGCTGCATGTGAACAGAGCGCAATAGTGGGGTGGGGAAGAAAGCAAAGAGTGAGCGTGGTGGTGTGGTGGTGTGTTGTTTCTTGGTTCCGTCCGACTGCCGAATGTTGATGCGCATCATTCGCAAATCGTCACAACTTTGCTTGCCAGCTTTGATCAACAAGAAGCTGTTGTCGCGCATCCATTCAACGTTCATCCACACTGCACCTGGCTCAACCAGCGACAAAGTTTGTTTGGGTTTTCGTCTGTGCTGTTTGTCGTCGACTTTGGCCACTGCGTACAACCCCCTCGACATCATGTCAAACACGGATCGTGGAGGCGGTCCACAGTCTGCCTCTCTGCCCATGAACTACTTTGCTTCTGTAAGGCAATGCGTGTGCGTGCGTGTGTATGTGTATGTGGTTGTGTCTGTGCCTGGCGCGTGTTGGTGTGGTTCGCGTGCTTTGGTTTCCGTTGTGTTTGTGTGGTTCTTGTTGTGGCTTGGTTGGAGTGCTGTGTGGGAAGTGCCAGCGTGCCTTGGCTCCATTTGTGCTTCAACCTGACCGGCTACCGCTCTGCTGTGTGTGTGTGTGTGTGTGAACACCAGCCTTCTCCAGCTCACCTCGATCTTGTCTGCGCGTGTTGCTTTGCCCGCGGGTTGCTTCGCGTCTTTACCCTCCTGTCAGTGGGAGGTCAGCAACCGGCTGAATCCAGGCTGGGTTCCAAGGTACACGCGATGACAGAAAGAAAGAAAGAAAGCATGAAAGAAAGAAAGAAAGAAAGCATGAATGTGATTGGTTTTGCTCTGTGTCACTCTTCGGCACAATCATTACCATGACTTCCATCGCCATCCCCATCTCATCGGTGACTGCCGTGCACACACACACACATACACACACACACACACACACACACACACACACACACACACACACACACACACATACACACACACACACTCGTGGGTCAGGGAGCTGTTGCTGAAGATTGACCACATCAAGCTGTTGCAGCCAATTGATGTGGACAGCACTCGCCAGGAGATCCTCAAGTTCCCAACCCGCTCCATCGTCGTTGCTGTGTCTGCTGAGGTGCCATCGCTGTGCCTGTTTGAAGTGCCAGTGTCGCTGCTGTTGTACGCGCTCTCCTGTGCTTGTGTTTGAGAACAAGGGGCCGGTTCGCTGTTTTGTGTGACTATGCGATGTGGTGCCATGCATGGCGTTGGGGCAGTGTGGTGTAGACCAGTGTTGCGCACTCATCCTTGCATTCATCTCTGATCACACGCACCGCGGCCCATTTCTAACTCACCCATTGTGTGTGTGTGTGTGTGTGTGTGTGTGTGTGTGTGTGTGTGTGTGTGTGTGTGTGTGTGTGCGTGTGTGTGTGCGTGTGTGTACAATCGTGGCAGAGTTCGCGGCGCGTGCTTCGCTCGAGCGAGCTTGATCTGGATGCCGACAACAGACTTGATACCGCTGTCCATCTCTCCTTCACTCTCCCCGTGAGTGCTGCTGCTGCTGCTGCTGCTGCTGCTGTTGCTGCTGTTGCTGCTGTTGCTTGCGGTGGTGGTGTGCATGCCAGCACATTTGTTTGTTTGTTTGTTTGTGTGTGTGTGTGTGTGCATGTTGCTTATGTGTGTGTGTGTGTGTGTGTGCGTGCTTGTCGATGCGTTTGTGTGGTTCCTTGTCTGCGTGATGCTGATGTGAGTGCCCACCCATTTGCCATCGCCCTGTTGCCGCATGCGCAGTATGCTCACTGCTTGAAGAATGACCTGAGCAACATCGTGACCATCAGCATCCAGCGCCGAAAGCGGTGCGTTGTGAAATGAACACTGCTGCTTTGACCTGTTGTGTGTGCAATGCGTGTACATGTTTGTGTTGGCATGTGCGCGTGCGCGTGAAGTATAGTGCTCACGGGTTTGTGTGGGCATATGTGTGCATGTGTGCATGTGACTTGGATGACGACAGGTACAAGCACCGGCCCATCAAAGGCTACAAGACACTCGGTACCAGCACCATCAACCTGTCACAAGTGAGCATTCAACACACGCACACGCACACGTTCAAACAACTGGCATGTCTTGCTCTTTCTCTCTCTCTCTCTCTCTCTTGAACGTCATGTAATCGCTACCAAGATGCTCACACACACACACACACACACGCACACACACCCACGCACACACCCACGCACACACGCACCCACGCACACACGCACACACCCACCCACACACCCACCCACGCACACACCCACGCACACACCCACCCACGCACCCACCCACGCACACACACACGAAACATCTCGGCTGTCGGCGGCAGGTTCTGCAGCACGACTTCAGCGGGCAGGTGGAGATGGTGGATAAGGAAGGGCGGGTCATTGGCGTGCTTGGCATTGAGCGTGCTGTCACCACATCCATCGAAGGGAAAACCACACAGGGTATCCCCATTGATGCCTGCCTTCTCGCACTTGCTCCTGCACCCGCAGCCGTGAAAAGTGTGCATGTGTTGGTGGTATGCGTTTGTGTTCTGCGACCGGAGCCTGTTCTGCGTGTGTGTGTGTTTGTGTTTTTTTTTTTTTTGTGTGTGTGTTGTGGTTGTGTGTGCATCTCGCTCATGACTGTGATCTGTGTCGGTTTGATCGCATTTGCGCAGATGATGGCGCTGATTCGGACGATTCTCTCGAGGTCGCGCCCCACCACTCTGGTGGCATGTGTCCATGTGAACTTGTTGAGGGTTGTTGGTGTACAGATCGAAGCACGCATACGTTCACCATTCACGGCCATCACCCTCACCATCGTGTCGTGATCTGTTCATTGCTCTGTGCTGACATTTGTACAGGCGAGCGACATTGAGGACGAGGACCGCGCACGCCGCCCGCAGTGAGAACACCCACTCACCCACCCACCATCCCACACACACACACACACACACACACACCCTCCATCCCACGCCCATACCCCCCCCCCCCACACACAAAGTGCACACACACACACACACAGACAGACAGTACACACAGACAGTACACGTGGTGGTGTCTTGCTGATGACAGCTTTTGTAACTCGTGCCTCGGTGTGTGCGTGTGTGTGTTTTTGGCGTGTGCGTGTGTGCGTGTGTGTTCAGGCGAAAGCCCATCGGCCAGCTGCGCAAGTTCATGGCGCGCATGATTCACGATCCGATGCTGCTCTCCAAACTCAAACGTACGCGGACGCAGACACCACATGAGCCAATGCATTCCTCCACCGCCCATGCCACCATGTGCTCCGTTCTTTGCTTTGCTCGTCTCGCTTCTCGCCACTCCATTCTCCATTCTTACTTGCGATTGCCCGTCGGCCATCACCACCAATAACCAACAACATCAACAACCAACATCAACAACATCACCACCATCACCACCAATAACCAACATCATCAACAACCACCACCACCAACATCACCACCACCGCCGTGATGTGCATGGTGACAGGGCGACGGCGCAATCGGGCGCATCCGCCCGAGGGCCAACAGCCCGGCACCGAGGATGAGGATGATGATGACGACGACGACGAGGCTGAAGGTGCCGGCATGTGGAAGTGCACGCGCCTGTTGTGGCTCCTGTAGAAGAAGGAGCATGTGTGGCTGCTGCTGCTAGTGGTGTGTTGCGGTGTTTGTGCTGCTGTTGCACAATGGCACAGGCTCATTCCTGCCGTGTGCTCGTGCGCGCATGTGTGTGCATGTGTGTGCATGTGTGTGCATGTGTGTGCATGTGTGTGCATGTGTGTGCATGTGTGTGCATGTGTGTGTGTGTGTGTACAGAGCTTGACGAGATTGCGCTGCTGGAGATGCTGCGCATGGGATCCGAGGTCGCATCGCTCTACAGCGACGAATCAGACACAGACGACGTCCCCGTCACAAAGTCAGCTCGCAGCACACACATGCACCCTTGTCCACACTCTTACAGACAAGACACTCTTGCACACACACACACACATACAGTCACACACAGACTCATACACATGCACACATGCACACATACACACACAGTCACACACACAGTCTCACACACTCTGTTGGCAACTCACTGTTCTCGACCACATCCCTCACTGCTTCCTCCTTCCGTTTCTTGCTGCCCATAGCCTGCCGTATCTTGCGCCGTTCTACGGCCCGCGAACAGGGCGACGTGCGGGCGCGCCGGCAGCAGCGACCGGCGCGCACCACCGCCACAGCCTCGGCCATGCACACGGCCTCGGTATCGGGTACACGAGCCATGCACAGCAGCAGCAACAACAACACCAAGAGCCGCAGCAGCAACAGCAACAAGAGCCGCAACAGCCACAGACACAGCAGCAACAGCCACAGCACACCGGGCGGTCTGTTGCCGCTGCGTTTTCGCTGCCGTTTGGCCAGCGCAGCCCCGCCGCACCCGCCCAGCATGCACCCAGGACCCCGGGCAGGAGGTGTGTGCGTGTGTGCATGCATGTGAACGTGTGAGCATGTGTGTGTGTGTGTGTGTGCATGTGTGCGTGTGTGCATGTGTGCGTGTGTGCGTGTGTGCGTGTGTGTGTGAGCGTGTCGCCGAAAGTACATGTGCTCTCAGTGGCTTGGTTGTTTGTGGGGACCCTGTTTGGTTGATTTCGGCTGACGCCAGCTCACGTCTCTGCTCCTCTCTGTATCTGTTGTTCCATGTGCAGCCGCAACAAATCAGAGAAGGATGGTACGTCTCTGTGTTGCTCTGCCATGCACGATTGCTTGCTAACATGCATGTATGCACCTGTGCACTGACCTGCCGAAGGTTTGCCCTCCCCACGCGCTCTCCTTTTCATATGGTTCATGTGTACATGTTTGCATGTGTGTGTGTGTGCGCATCTCTGTGCGCGCGCGTCTGTGTGTATGTGTATGTGCACCTGTCGTCGTGTGCATATGCCGCCTCCTCTCCCCCACCCCGCTGTCATGTGTTCAGCAGCGGAATCGCCCACGCGAGCGCAGCAGCTCTTCCGCGCGGGCAGCCTCACCCGACGTCAGTGGACAGCACCCGTGTCGTCGTCCATGCTCCCCTGCCCTTGTGTCATTTATGTCATTCGCGTCGCTTGCGTCGCTTGCATCGCTCGTGCCGTTTGGGCAAATTCCAACCTCTTTTTCCAAATGCTCTGAGAGCTGGTCTGTTCGTGTGTCTGTGTGCGTGTGTATATGTGCATGTGCGTGTGTATGTGTGTATGCGGTTTAGGGTTCCGTTGCTGTTATTGCCGCTCTTCTCACCACAACACCTGCGTGCTGTCTCCATCGTGTCGTTGCTGATGTTCTGCTATTCTGTGCAGAGTACGCGTCACCGCCCAGGTCAGTGTGGCATGACGCGTGTGTGTTTGACGTGTTTGCACCTCTGTATCACCCCTCTTTGTCATGTGCCCCTGTGCGTGGTGCGTTGACCACAACTTGCCATGCTCCACTGCTGCATCCTCAACGTTCACGCCATGCCATGCTTGCAGGCATCAGGGTCTCTCCACATCGCCGCGCGTCTCCCGCAGCGACCTGGTGCGACACACACACACACACACACACACACACACACACACACACACACACACACGCACACACATGCATGAGAAGCCGAGCATGCGCATGCCAAACACTGCACACGCGTGACTGCTTCCTTGTTCTCCTTTCCTGCCCTGTTTGCCTTTGCTGTTCTCCCTCCTCTATTCACTTCAATACTGCCACCACCATCATGAACCCCCCCCGGCCCACACCAGCCGCCGCCTGCTGGCCTCGTTGCGACGGCGCCGGACGAAATTTCCGCTGCGCTGGAGCGAAACCCGGACTGCGTTGTGGTTGGGTGCGCATCTGACCGCATGTACACGGCGCTGGTGCAGTCATCCTCCCACCCGCTGCACCACGCGCTGACAGAGCGCGGAACGGCGACGGAGGCCATTGTGCTGCCGGACGATCCATCCAGGGCGCGGGCTTGCATCACGACGCTGCTGTCGACAGCGGAGAGCATGGCCAAGGACCGGGAGGCGCGATCGGGCGTGCGCACGGGCCTGCAGCCGGCATTCACATGCGTCGTGGTCACCGACGGCACGGCAATTGCGCGGCTACTGGATGCGATGGTGAGCACCACGACGCGCGCCAGGTGCCCGCCCTCGTTCCGCGTTGTGCCGTCGGACAAGCAGGACCACCTGTGCCGGCGCATCGCTGCTGTCGACAGCGAATACCAGCTCCGCTTTGGTGGCGACGACTGGCACATGCTGGTACGGCGGTGGGGTGAAAGGAAGTGAAAGGGGGGTGGAGGGGGGGGGGGCAACGTGTGTATGTGTACTGTGGTATATCGGGTGCGAATATTGTATGCAGTGTATGCGTGGCCCGTGTATGTTTGTGCGCTTGTTGTGGATATCTGTTGAACCGGGTGCGCATCAGTGTCTCATGATGAAACTTGTTGTTGCCACACGCCTTTGTGTGTGTGTGTGTGTTGCGCTGGCCTGTGTGTGTGTGTGTTGCGCTGGCCTGTGTGTCACTGATGCTGTGCAGTTGTCGCACTACTCTGTGGAGGCGGCGAGCCAAGACCAGGTGCTGCAGCGGCTCAAGACGTACATCACCACCGCCACCCGCCCGCTCTCCTTCGAGGCCGGGCAGGTCCAAGGTCTGCATGACGCATGCAAGCGGTGCACGTGTGTGTGTGAGTGTGAGTGTGAGTGTGAGAGTGAGAGTGAGTGTGTGTGAGTGTGAGTGTGAGTGCGGGTCATGTGTGAGTAAGTGTGTGCGTGTGTGTCTGGCTGTATGAAGATCAGAATGCGTTGCCCGCACGCCTGTTCTAATTGTGCTTGATCGTGTTGCCACACCTTCCGTTTCGTCTCTTCGCTGTATGTCACTCACTCACATGCCCCATCGCATGACATTGTGCCCACGCTTCATGCTGCGTTCTCATCACCAGTTCAAACGGACAAGGAGGGCTCGGAGTCGCTTGTGTTTCTGTCGCGGGTGCAATTTGGACTGGGCGATCCATCCGATACGGACCTCTCCTCCTCCACGCCGCGCGATGATCTCGACATTGAGCTCGACTTCAAGCCCGTGCCGCGGGAGCGGGAGGACGCAAACATGGTGCGCTTTGCTTGGGTTGGGGTATTGGGGGGGGGGGAGGTTGAGTGAAGGGGAGTGGAATGCAGTGGGGTGGGGAGGTGCGCGTTGGATGAGTTGCAGGTGGCGACAGCCTTTCGTCTCAAAATCATACGCACACACACATCCACCCTCACACACTCAAACATGCACACACACATATGCACACACACACACGCATGCACACACACACACACTAACACACACACATCCTAACACGCACGCACACACACATACACATACACACCCTAACACACACATGCACACACACACATACACACACACACACACACTAACACACACACACACGCATGCACACACACACACACTAACACACACACACATCCTAACACGCACGCACACACACATGCACACACACACACATGCGCACACATATGCACACACGCATACACACACACACACACAGACTGGGGTCAAAGGGACGATCAAGGCAGTGGTGATAGAACGTATTCAGGACCCGTTTACGGCGGAGCAGCCGAAGCACGGGCGGCTGAAGCTTCACGTGACACGTGGCCCGCCCAAGCAGAAGATCAAGCGGCTGATGACCAAGAAGGAGCTGGAAGGCAACCTGGACGTGGACGCAGAGGCCGTGCTGTGCAAGCCGTCGCGCGGAAAGCCGAAGCTGTGCTTGGTCGTTGATGGCTGCATCTACCCCGACATTGATCAGTGCTACATCACTGGTGTTCACCCAAGCACCTCCCGCCGCATTGCCATTGGCTCTTTCCCTCCTGCATCCTCCTCCTCTGCTGCTTAATCACCAGGCCCGCAGCCGTGTTGTGTGGTGTGTTGTCGGTGTGATGATGAGTTTGTGGCTGAGCAAGAAGAAGTGTTGTTGCTGTTGTTGTTGTTGTTCGCCGAACATTGTTTATGTTTTGCATTAAACTTCTACAACAACGGCTATGGCAGACCAGCACAACAAGGTGTGTTTTTGTGGCACCCCCCCACCCCAAAGCACCCACGCTCATGCCCACGCTCATGCCCACGCTCATGCCCATGCTCATGCCCATGCTCATGCCCATCCGCGTACAGGCGCAAGGAGAAGGAGAACAAAGGGGTGCTGAGCGGGCTGCGTTGATTGAGGAGGTACTCGGCTTGCAAACAGCATTGGACGGTGCGTTCGAGCGCATGTGTGCGTTGGTGATCATGTGTGGATGGAGCCTGCATGGAAACTTGTGAGCGCACGACATGATTGGTGTGATCTTGGAACTTCGATTCATCTTCTCGTTTCTATTTTTTTTTTTGTGTGTGTTTGTGTAGCGCTCTCTGAGCGGGTGGACGAAGTTCGGGAGGAGAACGTTGGCCTCAAGCAACAGAACCAGGTGCGTGCATGTGCAAGGGAGTTGTACTCGTGTCCAGCATGAGCTACGGTCCTTTGCGCTGTCGTCTTTCCTGTGTTCCCTCTCTCAATTGCCCTGCGCAACATTTCCTCCTTCTTCCTTCCATCGCAGTCGCACACGCACTCACATCACATCAACCGCATGCACGCACATCTCCACTATCCCATGCCATGTGCTACGCACATGCTGCAGCAATTGACCCAGTACATTGAAAACGTGATGGCTGCTGCCACGACAGAGACAAGCGCAAGCCAGGGCAACACCACCACTGCCAATGGGAGCAGCCGCAACAGCAGCAGCTCCACCTCACGCTGACATGATGCCTCTCCGCCAACCCGCTGCTCGTCTGCTCTTGTCCTTCCTCTTCAAGGGCAATTTTGACGTTGACTGCCAATTTTGACTTTGATAGTAGACTGTTGTTGATATCTTCCTGCGATGTTCCTGACCCGTGAAATAAAGAGTGATTTTAGCACCGTAAATTTCACGCCTGGCGGATGGTCTGTGCCTTTTTCTCTGCGTCGCGTGTTCCTTCCCCTTCCACCGCACACACAGACAGCCAGGTGAGCGATATGAGCGTGGTGGCGGATGAGACTGGGCGAGTGAGGCCTGTGGTGGCATTGAGTGTACATGCGCGCGCGTATGTGTATGTGTGTGTATGTGCGTGCACGTGTGTGCGCGCGTGTGTGTGAGGTGTTGATGAAGGCGCGCATCTTCGCTGAGCAGCGACGGCAGCGTGTGAAGCAGCATGATCCAGGAACAACGAACGAACACCCCACTCGTGCTCGTTTGTGTTGGTTGTGGCGCACGTGATGTTGAAGCTTGGGCAGCAGCCATGCATACCGCTTGCAAGCCGAAGCAACAGAACACCGGCCGAGCCGCCAACGTCACTCCCACTCGCATCATCAACACCAGTGTTGCGAGTGCGTGCGTTGTGGCAGCAGTGGTGGTGAGGCCAACTCAGCAGCAGCAACAGCAGCCCACACGACACGACGCGATGCAAACGACGCGATGCAAACGCCGCGTGGTGTTGGTGCTCGAGTTGGGCGACATTGCCGTGACAAGAACAGCACTTGTGGACGTGTGGCGCGTGTGGCCATCCACCCGGGCGTGCATGGCCCTGACATTGAGGAGGAGGATGCCATCGCAAGAACGATACACCCGCCACCAGCACCACAAAACACTGCTGCAACACACTGCCTCCACCTTTACCCACTACTGTTGTAGCTCACAACACACGCACTGCACCGCTGTTGTGTGTTTCCTCTTCTCTCCCTCTCTCCCTTCCTACCCTTGTTGTTTGATTGTTGAGCAGGATGTCCAAGGAGACCCCTCAGCTTGGCCCCGACGTGAGTTGTGCATGACCTCCTTAAGCAATGTGTCTTACATGTTTGCGTCTGTGCTGATTGTCTTCATCTCCACACTCGCACACACACACACACACACATCCAACGCGCGCACACCATTGCCGCCTTGCTTCGCACGCGTACTCACCACGACCACCCTCCCCCATGCTTGCTCCAATCAGGTCAAGGATGGCGAGCTCGTCTTTGGCGTTGCACACATCTTTGCGTCCTACAACGACACTTTCGTTCATGTGACTGATCTTTCTGGAAAGTGAGTGAAGCGGCGCCTCATGCTTGTACATCACATCACAAGACTCCATTTGTTACTACGTGCTTGTCCTTGTGCGTTGCTTGTCTTTGTCTTTGTGTTTGTTTCGTGTTATCGTAGTGCTTCGATCGATCCTGTATTTATGCTGCCCTGTGGAGCTGACAACATCTCACCATTTCGCTTTGACTTCTTGTCCTCGTGCTTAGGGAAACCATGGTTCGTGTGACTGGCGGTATGAAGGTGAAGGCCGATCGCGATGAGGTACGTCGCCAGTTCATTGTCACCTGCCACTTTTTTCCATGTGTGTGTGTGCGTGGCGTGTGCGTGTGTGTGTGTTTTCATCGTGTGGCACCACGCTGCTCTCGTTTGCTTTCCTCCCCGTCTGCACTTCTCTCCGCCGATTCCCTCCTACTTTCCCCTTTTTCTCATCTTTGCATTGCGTTTTTATGTGCTTGTGTGCGTGCTTGCGTGCGTGTATGCAGTCGTCGCCATACGCTGCGATGCTTGCCGCCCAGGACGCCGCTGCCCGCTGCAAGGAGCTCGGCATCACCGCTCTTCACATCAAGCTCCGCGCCACCGGCGGTGTGCGCTCCAAGACCCCTGGCCCCGGCGCGCAGTCCGCGCTCCGTGCCCTTGCCCGCTCTGGTCTCCGTATTGGCCGTATTGGTGCGTTCAAACTGTGGTGTATGTGTGTTTGTGTGTGTGTATTCGTGTGTGTGTGTTGTTTGCTGCAGCTTGCTGTGGGGTTGCGTGTTGTTGCGTGTTGCGTGAGGGTGTGCACGTTCCGTGCTCGTCCCCCGAGTCCCTGTTTCTCCTTGCAACGCATGGCTCACATACCTCCACCCACCACGTCAATACCATCAACAAACAATTGGCAGAGGATGTCACTCCCATCCCCAGCGACAGCACAAGGAAGAAGGGTGGTCGCCGTGGTCGCCGTCTGTAAACCACACATGCACGCACACATTTTGGCTTTTTGGTCCCCAGTTCTTGGTGTGTGAGTGGCGGCGTTGGTGATGATGTGTTTGTCTCCTTTACTTGAGATGTACGTGTGCCATGACGGTTCCCTCCCTCACAAGTACACGTGCATCAACGGACAACCGACCACGTATTCGAGTGTCTGTGTGTGCTGGTTGTGGTGAAACCTCGCGGTTGAAAACTTGCGCACATTAATTTGAGTGCAGCGTTTACTTGTCTGTGATTGTCACGAGCAGAGCGTAGAGTGGGGGAAGGGGACAAGGGGTGTTTGTTGGGAATGCAGAGATAGAGAGAGGGGGGGGGGATGGAGCGAGTCAACACACGCACAGACAAGACAGACACGTGAACACACACACAAACAGTCAAACACACACACACACACACACACACACACACACAAACAGTCAAACACACACACACACACACACAAACAGTCAAACACACGCGGCATCTAGTCGTCGTCTTCCTCTGGCCTCCAGATGTCGTTGTCTTCCACGTATTGTACAATGTTCTTTGCCGCCGAGGCACCGGCATACACCACTGTGGGAAGCACAACGGTGATGCCTGCAAACACAAGAACGCTGGCCTTGCTTGGCATCTGGGGAATCAGGTCGTGGCCAGACAAGCCGCTTGTGGACCGCCGCGCAACCAGCGCAGCGCCGTTTGGCCTTGCCGCACTTCTCGCGGCCCGCACAAGCGTGGTTCCAAGCATGGTTCTGGGTGTTGCAAGAACGAGCGCAGACAAAAAAGGGTCAGCAAGGAAAGACGGCCAGCAGCGGAATGGCCAAAGGCAAGGAGGAATCTCAGTCAGAGGGTGTGCGTGATGAGTGTGCGTGTCGTGGGAGGTCAACAAGGCCAGGAGGTGAAGGAGGAGAATTGAACGATCGGCAAGTGCGGGAGAGCGCAGTGTGAGAAGAACACACGGACAGCATGGACAACGCAACTACAAGACCACCCCAGTGCTTTCATGGCGCAGGCAGGCACGGGAGCAACGCAAACACCAAACATGCACACGCACGCACACCCATCCAAACATCACAAACACCACCACCACAACAACACACGAACCTCCTCTTCTTTTTCCTCTCTTCCTTCTCGGCTTGCTTGGCAATCAAAATGAAGGCTCGACTATTCGCGGAAGATATTCGTAATTTGTGCCGCACACTCAAAAAGGCAAAAGGGCAGCAGCCAAACCGTTCACTCTCCACTCACCACCTGCTTGGTTTCATGTCAACGCAGTCCACGTTGTTCGCCCGCCAAGCAAGCCAGCAGCCAAGTTCTCGCGTCAGCACGACTCACCTCACTTGGGAGCCAAAGCAAGCAGCACTTGGGTTCATAGTTGGTGTGCGGGTGCATCTGCGAATCCGAACCATGGCACAAGACGAAGCAGCCATGCTGCATGAGTTTGAACACCTCAAAGCAGAGTGAGTTGGTGTTTGGGTGGCAACAGCAACGGCGTATGCGCGCGCATGTGTACCCGTGTAGGTTGGTCGGCGGTTGGTCGGCTGGGATAACCGCCTCCCTTGAGCTCGTTTATAATCTTGTACCTGTGTGTGTGTGTGTGTGTGTGTGTGTGTGTGTGTGTGTGTGTGTGTGTGTGTGTGTGTGTGTGTGTGTGTGTGTGTGTGTGTGCTGGGTGTCATGTTGCGTCATTTAGGCATGTTGGGCTTCAACGCATCACGGAGCACGCTTGCGCGTCTGTCCACCTGAGCCCCCCCCCCATCATCCAACACCTGGATCGTGTAATGGATTACTCTTATTCGTTGTGGTACCTCATCCTCAATCGCTGTGTGACTGTGACCATGTCATCGCTGTAGACGGTACAAGCTCGAGGTACAGGAGTGTGAGGCAGAACTTCGCTCCGTCGAGAGTGGCACGCATGCGGAATTGGTCAGCGAGTGGGAAGACATCAACAAGGAAGAAGCAGAGGAGCTACGAAAGCTTGGTTGGTGGTACTTGTCAACTGCCTTTGTCTCACCCGCGCGTGTGTGCATGTGTGTGCATGTGCATGTGTGTGCATGTGTGTGCATGTGTGTGCATGTGTGTGCATGTGTACGTAGATGGGTCGCATGCTGTGGTTGACGCTGTTCATGTGAGCAAGTCGAGGGTTGTTGCATGTTTCCTGCAGATCAGCTGCACGAGTAGCCGTCTCCCTGCTACTCAACCCCGCAAACCCACATGTTCACACAATTCACACACGTTTTCCTTGTCTCCCAAACATGGATTAGACGAATGGCGGGACAAAGCGGTAGGTGTGGATTGTGAGCACAGCATGAGTTGTGCAGGGTCGAGGGGTGTGTGTTTGTTTGTTTGTGGAGCCAGCCATTCACCTCCACCTTGCACTCATGCTCCTTGCACGTATTCCTGCGGATCATTCGCTGACCACCCTTTGACACATTCACACACGCACACACACATACACATACACATACACCCATACACACACACACACATACACACACACACACACACACACACACACACACACACACACACACACACACACACACACACACATACATCACAGCTGGCCTCGGCAAAACTGATACGCTTTACGCTTGAAGATGAAGCGCAGCGAACCTTTGAGGCACGTCCCAGCCACACCCACACCCACACCCACACCCACACACACGCACACACACACACACGCACACACACACACGCACACACACACACACATTCTTGTTGCATACGTTGCAAAAGGCCATCATGTGTGCGCTGCCAACACACCCACGCACTGTCCTCACACTGCACCCATGTTCTTCGTGCCTGGTGTCATGGTGGCAGGAGGAGCTGAGGCTTGTGCAGGAAGAGCTGTGCGAAGCGTACAAGCGTGATCAAGAGAGCACGGTGTTACAGTACCTGTTCGACAAGCAGAAGCCAGGTACGTGAAGTGACATCAGGCGTCGTGCGACTTGATGCCCCTGCGCGTCACACGGCATTGTTGTCATTGTCAACGCTCGCATGGTGGTGGCCGCTATTGTTCTGCTGCTGCCTGTTTGTGACGACAGTCTCGCTGCAGCTACTGACTGCCCTGATCTTGCCTCGCCATTGTAATCGTCGCTCCTCCTTGCTTGCCGATAGAACTGATGCAAGCCACCGCAGAGACGAAGAAGCTGTTCCCACACTTGTGCGTCTCGTGCATTGTGTGTGTGCGTGTGTGTGCGTGTGTGTGTGTGTGTGTGTGTGTGTGTGTGTGTGTGTGTGTGTGTGTGTGTGTGTGTGTGTGTGTGTGTGTGTGTGTGTGTGTGTGTGTGTGTGTGTGTGTGTGCGATTGTTGGTTTGTTTGTTTGCGCGTTTGTTTGTTTGTTTTGTTTGCGTGTTTGTTTGTTGTGTCGATGTTGCGCGTTTATGCTGTGTTGCCCCACCCCATTGTCTGTCTCTTGTTCTCTGTTTCGCTTCTCCTTACATTGCTGCATGACTGCACTTTTCCCCGCTGTGCCGTTGTGCTGTGTCCACACAGGTGGGAGCAGAGTTCGCGCAAGCGCCAGGACGCGGGCGGCAAACACAAACACAAACACAAGCACAAGCACGACGCAAGCCAGAAGAAGCAAGCACAGCAAGGCCAGCCCGGGCAGGAGAGGTTACCCGCTGGACAGCAGCAACAACAACAACAGCACGCGGAGACGCCGCGGCAGCGACGAAGACGGCAGCTGCCGCCCATTGTGCACATGCTGCACCCATTTGACATCCACCAGGACCTCTTCTTGCTGCAGCGCACATCTTGACGCTGTGTGTGTGTGTGTGTGTGTGTGCAATTGGCTGCGACAAGTATTGACGCGTGTGCAGTGGTGCATCTCTTCGGGTTTTTCCCGCGTACTCGATGCAAGCGAGCGTGCTTCTTGGCTTTAGCGCGTGTTGTGTGTATTTCGTTGGTTTCGCGTGCTAACCGACGACTAGAGCTTCTCATAACATAAAGACATCCGATGACCCATTATCAACACACACGCGCACGCGAGCAAGGCTGTGCGTGCGCAGTGTGAAGTAACGACGTGACGACAGGCAGGAAGCGAGCAATGTGGCAAAACAATAACAGTGACACGCACGGTGTTGCACAGTTGGACAGCTGTACATCAATGCTGAGTTGTGCCGACAAGGACCGTGAGAGCACACACACACACACACACACACACATGCACACGGCAGCGGGTTGACTTATGTATGTACAAGGAAAAAAAAAAGAATTGCAATATTTGAACAGCGACGGGCTGGAGCGCGTTGTAGGTGGCGTGTTGTGAGTTGCGCATCTACACAAGCAGGTTGCGCCCAGCAACGCCAAACTTCGCCCTGGGAGTGGAGAGCACATGTGGAGGTTGGAAAGGCGGGGGAGGGGGGAGGAGGAGCGGGCGAGTATGTGAGTGCGTGGGTGGAGAACAGACGTACAGCAGCAAGCCTTTAGCAGAGGTTGAGAGCAACTACGCATCAAAGGCGCCAAATGCATCCAGGCTTCGCACGCCACTGCTGCAACAAAATATGTATACAGTGTCGAACACACACACAAACAAACACACACACACACAGAGACACACCAAGACATACACCAAAACTTACGGGTCGAGAAACCTTGATCTGCAGTTAATGTACTTCTCCGGTCGCTCGTTGGCGAGGCCGCGAAGCTGCTGCGCCACGAGCATAATGTGCCGGTGGTCCAGCTTAAATAGCGCGCTGTGGTCCTCAGACTGTGACAAGGAAAGAGCGAGTAAGGCGTGCCAGTGTCGAGCTTGCGTGAGCTCTGTCAGGACACCACAGCAGTAACGCCACCACCTTCGCCCCTTCTCACCACCACCGTCCAGAACAGCACCCAGTCGTATCAGCAGCGACATCGAAACCAACAATTTAGCACGACACCAAGCAGCGGCAGTGCTCACCCAGCCAGGGCCGTCGCATGTCTTTGAAGCAATGTGGACGGCTGCGGCCCCGCGGACGGAGGGCCGGAGACCGTAGAAGCGCTGCTCTTGCAGAGGCAACGTGATCAGGTACTAGAAAACACACATGACACAGGCATATGAGTGGCGTGCCATACAAACAGCCCTTGTGCATGCGAAGGTTGTACAGCCAGACAGGGGAGGACAAACAGGCGCTGCCGTGTTGCATGTGAAGGGCACACACCTCTGCGAGAGCCATGCCTTCGAGGGAGAGCTGAAGCACAATGGCATATACGGAGATGAAGTCCAGTGGTGTGACGTTCATCACCTGTCAAGTGTCGGGGCAGAGCAAAAAGGAGGCAGCGGGCGTTTGCGTCAGTGGCATGCTGCAAGGCTGATGTGCGGGCATGTGTTGGTGGCTTGGCAGTTTGGTGTGTGATGTCATGGGCTTGCAATGGGCACTACAGCGAAGCGTGTGTGTGTTGATAGCACGCTCACCCAAACAAAACTAAACGCGACCCCCACGAGCGCCAATGACGTCATTTTTCGCTCGCACCCAAACCATCACAACGTCGGAGGGCAGACAGCAGGTGTTCACACCACACACACACACCCACACCCACATAAACACACAATCCCAATAGACGCAGCCACACTGCCGTCTTTCTCTCTGTCTTTGTTTTTGGCAGAGGCAGGGGCGCCACGTACGTAGAAGCGGAGAGCGGTGAGCATGGTGAGTTCCTTGTCGATAAACGCCTGTCGCGGGTAGAGGCCAGCGCACACGTACTCAAAGTCTGCAAGCTCTGGGGGAAGCACCTCCAGAAACTTGGATGCGATCCATAGGGATGTTGCGCCGCAGCATTGGTAGTCGTGGCGTTGCTCGTCGGGGCGGGCTGCCAGGTACCGGTCGAGAATGTCCACAGCACAGAACAGCGTTTCGTCCCGCAGCTTGAAGCTCACCTGCGTCAAGCAAGCACAAACAACACGCAAGCAAGCGACGGAAGAATGTGTGCGTGTGTGTGTGTGTGTCGGGGAGGTGGGAGGGGAGAACAGCACATTCGGAAGGGGGGTGAGCGTGTGCAGAGCAACCTCGCCTCAGGCAAAGACACCGGTTTGTGTACACCAAAAGAAAAAGGAGAGGCATGGGGATGCGGTCGTGTACATTACCTGAATCTCAATCATCCAATCAATAACAACGGTGCGCATGGCAAGGTTGATTCCACGCGATGGCCGAGGGTTGAGCAGATACTTTTCCTGTTAAAGCAATGTGGGGCAACGGCACGGCAGGGCGTTTCAGCACATACCGCAACTAGCCATCACACAGAAACGCATGCTGGAGGGCAAGCACAAGCCACAGAAGCACACCCACACCCACCCACACATGCAGCCGTACCTCGCGTTGCAAGTTCTTGGCGTAGATGGCGTCGACGTAGTTGAGGGACATGACATCAGAGTGCGGTACATCCTGCGATGGCTGGTGTTGCGGGGGAGCTTCTCTCGATGCTGGCACAGGGGCGGATGACCTCGGTTGCTTCTGGGGGCGACGTGTGTTGCTCGCGGATGTCACAGGTCGTGGTCGTGCACTTCTCCCGGCCTGTGATCTGCTCCTAGACCTGACAATTGGCATCATGCAAAGCAAGACAGCCGTGAATGGTGAGTCACACAGCTTTGGGCGGGGGGGGGGGGGTTACTGGGCGAGTCAAGGGGGCGGCGCAGGTGATGGTTGCTCGACAAGTGGTCAATGTGGGACTGATGCAAGTGGCAACGGCATCGCACCACACGGCCGGCAGCGTGTTTGAACGACTCACGTGGTGGAGGATGAGGGGACGGCCACGACTTTGGGCGAGGAGGCGTTTTCCTTGTCGCCAGCAATGGCCTCATCCTGGGGTTGCTGCTTGCCCCTTTGAAGGGCAGGGAACTTGTGGTACAAGTGAGCACGCCCCGCCTTTGACATCCGCCGGTGGCTGGTGGTGGATGATGGTGTCTGCGTGCAGTTTTGCGTGCGTGCGTGCGTGCGATCATTCAAGCAAACAGTGAGTTGCAACGCAGACATCACACTTCAAAGCAACAACAACAGCAACGATGACAGCAGCACAACAAAAAGAGCAACACAGACTTGATGACGACACACAGCACCTCAACGTACCCTGCAGCTTTCTCCCCAACTGACAAAACAGACAGCACGCAAATGCACTCACCAAGTCAAGCGCATCGTCATCCTCTGGGATGTCGATGCCAGACTCATCGTGCCTCCTCTTTGCTCGATCAGTCTACGTCCGCAGTGTGTATGTATGTGTGTGTGTGGTATTGTGTGAGCGTGTGAGTACAGGTTTGGTGGAGCGGAGCGAGTAAGGCACACAGACAGACACACGCACAGACGCAGTCACACACACACACAGACGCACAGACACAAAGCGATGATGATGATGATGATGATGATGATGATGTGCGGTGTTTTTGTTTTGGGTGTGTTGGTTGGGTGGGTGACGGTGGCATTCAGGCACGGTGTGACAATAACGTAAAGCACCGGTTCATGGCAGCATCACCCCTCTCCCCTCTCGCAGTCGCATGTGGCGTGTGAGATAGCCTTACCATCTTGGGTGTCGGCTGTTGTTGTGGGCTGGCTTGTCGACTGCTGGTGGACTGGTTGGCTGCCCGGACGGCCTTCTTGGGAGTGCCACGGAGATGAGTGAGTGATGGATGATGAAGGAGAGGAGAGGTGGCAGCTGGTCGGGCATCAATACCAAACCGCGCCGGCGCGCAAAAAAGGGCACCTCAAACCGCGCGCTTTCCGCCTGATTTGCCCGGTTGACCGGGTTTTAAAATGTTGGCGGGGCCTTCTTCGCTCTTGTGCGCATTGGTGCTGCTGGCGCTGTATCCACCATGGAGTCGTTGATCGAAAACGTGCTGACTCAGCTCATAGGGCGACAAGCGACACACGGAAAAGTGCAAGAAAGAAGAACGCCAAAAGGCAAGCAAGCAAGCAAGGAAGGAAGGACACACACCCTTCTTCTTCTGCTTCCGCTGCTTCCGCTTTGCGCACACCCACCCCACGCCACAGCGCCACCTTGCTTTGCTCGTCAACAACATGGCCACGCAGACGTCGAGTGGAGGAGGTGATGGCAGTGGAGCACAGCAGCCATCACCGCCGGCGCCCTCGGCGATCTTTATCCAGCGTGATTTCTCAAAGGGCACCACACCCCGCTTCGCTACAACGCTTCCACAACAGCTTGCCTCAAAGGTGAGTTGTGTTGTGTAGTGTTTGTGTGTGTTTGATGGGTTGTGTGTTGTGAGTTGTGTGCGTGTGTGCGTGATGGGTGCTCATGCGCGTTTCTCAGGTCTATCATCCCTCACGCAGCAACACACACACACACACACACACACACACACACACACACACACACACACACACACACACACACACACGCGTGTGGTGCAGATCTCCGCGGAACAATTTGCACATGCCATCACACAGATCAACGACGTCTTTGAGGAAGCAGAAGCGCCTTCCCTCAGCCTCTACATGACGGTGTGTGTGTGTGTGTGTGCGAGCGAGTGTGAGCGAGTGTTCCGTGTTGTGCGTGTATGTGGTTGTTGGTGGGAATGTCTTTCTCCTTCTCCTTCTCCTTCTCCTTTTCTTCGTCTTTGGCTTTCTCTCCCTCCCTCTCTCCCTCTCTCCCTCTCTCCCTCTCTCCCTCTCTCCCTCTCTCCCTCTCTCCCTCCCTCCCTCCCTCCCTCTTTCTCTCTCGCTCTCTCTCTCTCTCTGTGTGCTCAGCCGTCTTGTCGTGGCGTGTTCAGTGGACCATGTCGCAAGCTCATTGCTTCGAACTGTGTCGCGTCATGACTGACTTGTGCACATGTGGGGGTGTTGGTGTGCAGAACGTGCTGTCGTGTTTGACGGGGCATCTCCTTCAATTCTGCGTCGAGAATCCCTACGAGAAGGTGCGCGCTTGACTATCATGGGAGTGCGGTTTTGCCGCAAGGCGGGTGCTGGTGCCTGTGCTGGTGGCTGTATCTCCCTTTCCAACAACGTCACAACGCATGCTATTGACTTTGTTTTGTACACGCAGAGGTTTCGGGAAGTGTCGGCATTAACGGAGCAGCTCAACCAGCAGGTGCGCGCGGTGCACGCACGCATTGTGTGTGTGTGTGTGCATTGTGTGCACATGTTGTGGATGTGTACGTGTGCATATTGTGAATGCGTGCGTATGTGTGTGTGTGTGTGTGTGCACGCCACGTCGGGGTAGCTCACACCTGCTCGAATGCACCCATGACAACAGGTGTTTGGACCGAAAGGCTTGCGCATGGTGGACCCGTTAAGAAGAGGACTGAGAGCGGTAAGGGCTAGGCGTAGCTGTTCACACATTTCAGTGCATGTCTGGTGGCACGTTGCTTGGCACATTTCGTCGCACGCTGCTTGGCACGTTTTGTGTGGACCTCCGCACAGACGAGCTCTCGCAACAACTTGGCAGGCACCTGCCATGTACACAAGCCACATCCTGTGCCACAATGTTGTTGTTCACGCCACACACACATGCACACACATGCACACATGCACACACACACATACACACACACACACACACACACACACACACACACACACACACAAAACTCATGCCCTTGTGTTCAGATTGAAATTCAAGTGCTCAACGTTGCAGTGTAGGTGGGGTGGGGCGTACGTTCGTTACTGGATCACATTGTCGATAGAAGAAGGTGTGTATTTGCTTTGGGATAGGGGAGGGTGGTGGTGGTTGTGCCAGCATCATGGGGGGAAACACAACAGGCAGCGAGAAGACGAAAGGAAAAGAGACGAGCAGTCAACGACGATCTGGCTTGGAAGAGGAGTGAACGTTTGTGCATATGCATCAAGGGATGGGGGGGAGGCGTAGAGGTGCTGCTAGAGGGTGAAGCGCAGGGAGTGGTGCATGCGTACGGCTGCTTGTTTCTTGAGTGGAAGGTCAGCACGCGGTGGGTGCATGTGATTGCGTGGGTGCATGTGCAGGGTGTGTATTGGTGCTGCCTATCGATCAAGTACACAATCACAAACGCCATGGGACGAAGAAATGAAACAATCGAGTCGTGAAACAGCCGCAGCAGTGAGCGCGGTGCACACGCGTCTCACATTAGTTGAACCAAGCAGGCAAGCGAGTCAGTTAGAGATGAACGCGAGAAGCACACCGACGAGAAACGAAAACGGGGGCATGGTAACCAGCTGGTGTGTTGGGGAGAGAGAGAAGGGGTGGGGGTGGGAGAGGGAGACGCTGCAACAGCGGGTGAACAAGATGAACAACAGCGTGGACAGGCGAGAGAAGAGAAGCCGTAACAAAAACAAACTGCCTTGAGGGGGGGGGTGTGGGGGTGTATGTGTGCATGTATGTGTGCGCGCGTGTATGTGTGTGTGTGTGTGTTTGTATGCGTGTGCCATCAGTATCGCGAGGGCTTTGCGCGTGTGTACATGGATGTCATGTTCTGCAGCGGCGGCATGGCCATGGTGATGGCGGGCACGGGCCGCTCCGACGACGGCCGGTGGCGCGCATCCTGCCCATTGGGAGAGAGAGAGAGAGAGAGAGGAGGGGGTGGTGTGATGATGAGTGGCTTGTGAGCTGGGTTGGCTTGAGGTAATCTTCCATGACAGTGAGGATGTGTCACGTGATCGTTAACAACGAATACACACAGACACACACACAGACACACACACAGACACACACAGACACACACACATAGACACAGACACACATAGACACAGACACAGACAGACAGACACACACACACACACACACACGCACAATCAAACTTGTCTGCGCACCTTGAACCACTTGCCGGCCTCGACTGCGCTTGCAGCGAGCTGGTTGAGCGTCTCCACGGCGTAGATGGACTGGAGCGCGGCAGATGACGTGCTGATGTCGGCCGCAGTCAAACGGGGAAGGGTGGACATGGTGGTTGGTTGGCATCGGTGCAGGGAGACACAGGAGTGAGCAACGTATAGTGCAGAACGGGGTATGCATGTGCGAACTAGCACACAAACGCATAACAGACACAATCACGTACAAACACAGCCACACAGACACACACAGACACACACACACAGACACACAAACAGGGCGGTCTGGGCGAGCACGTACGATGGCGGGGCGAGCGGGCGACGGGAGAGGCACGAGTACGGGGGACCACCAGAGCACTTGTGGAGTTCGATAATCTGCTGGACGACATCCTGCACATTGCGCACCTGCTGCTGGTACAGCGCGGCCACAGCCGGGGACAGGTTGGCGTGCGCAATCAGCGCGGGCGACAGCGGCTGATACGAATCCGGATGCAGCTGTGGGTGCTCCACTTGTGCCCCTACAGCATGGTGTGTGTTCGTGTGCCCGGAGTGGGGTGGGGGAAGGGGAAGAAAAGGGTGTTGGGCGGTGGATAGAACATCAGGGGTGCATGCCACCAAAGACAGGGGCAGAGTTGCACATACAGGCAGAGATACAGAGATACAGAGATGCAGCTGCAGATGTTGGTTCAGAGACAGAGGGACAACAGTGCCGGTGGAAGGGTGGGGGGGGGGGGACGTACGGATGGCCTGGACAAAGCCGAGCTGCAGGTCAGACTGGGCCGGCGGGAAGAGGCGGAAGAGGACGAGGGTGTGCATGAGGTGTCGCACATTCGACTCCCAGTGGCACAGCAGCGGCTCAAGCACCGTCCGCTGTGTCAGGAAGTCTGTCGGTTGTTGTTGTTGTTGTTGTTAAGTTGTTTTTAAGTTGTTGGTGTTGTTAGTGGGGGTGATGTGAGGTTGATGACGCTGGAGACAGTGTAAACGCGGGCAATACGGGAGGCGAAGGCCAGGTACACACACACACACACACACACACACATGCACAAGAAAGGCAACAAGCGTACGGGTGATTCTTGCTCGTTGCTCCTCGTGGAAATAATCCAAACAGTCGTACGTCCAGCGTAACGCAAACATAGTAACCTGAAGCCGGCAAAGGGAGTGGGGGGGGGGAGAGGAGGATGTGACGCAACAACAACAGGACGCAACAGGAGGGTGGCAGTCACATGAGCACACGACGGGCATCTTAGGAGAGACGCACACGAAGATGTACACACAAGCCCGATGATATTGTCCACAGGGCACAGGCGGCCGCGCACAAACACGCACACAGACATACAGGCACACACACAGACACACACACACACACATACAGACACGCACGAAGATACGTGCAACAATCAGATGTGCACGTACCACGTAGTGGTGGCAAGAGGTGAGGCGCTGCAGGAACTTGAGGAAGAGGTCGAGGTTCACGTCGGAGGGGAGGGGCGCGCCGTGCATGTGGTGGTAGCACTTCAGAAACGCCTGGAACGAGGACAGCAGCGCTGCAGAGGAGAGGGGGCGGGGGCGGCAATGTAGTGCACGTGTTGAAGACGGAGAAGGCGGGTGGGGTGAGTTGTTCGGGCACACATCATTCCTCACACACACACACACACATGCACACACAGCGAATACATGAACACGTACAGATGACATCTGCGACGTGTGTGACACTGGTCTGCAGCATGAGGTCGTGGAAGAGCGTGGAGAAGAAGACGCCGCTAACACTCATCGCCAGCGCACACGCTGCCGTGCGATCAGACCAGTTGCAGATCAGGCTGGTTCGTGATGTGTGTGTGTGTGTGTGTGTGTGTGTGTGTGTGTGTGTGTGTGTGTGTGTGTGTGTGTGTG